CAATCGGTCAGTACGTTAACATGTGAATCAAAATCCAATTACCCTTGTAAAGTATTGTTAGATACTGTTCAATTGTGGAAATCGAGTGAGTTTGGTCTGAAAAACTCCAAAATTGTTTGTTGTTGCTGTTCTTCGGAAACTGTTACTAGAATCAAGATATTACCTATTTGTGACAATAATTCATGAATCCCTCTGTTGTTTCTATCATCATCCATTTCTAGTTGACTCCAGCACACTTCCCTTCCTGTTTTTTTCTACCTTCACCAAAATACACTAAATGTGTTCAATTCTCCTATATATTAACAAATATTTTTGTTTTCAACAAAGCAAAAATTTTACAGAAAGGGAGAATTAAATCCAACACCAATTCTGGCAACCGATTAAACATATACTCATATGGTGATTTGGTATGTAGACATGCAGTTCAAAACAATTTGTTTAAGAATTCCAAAGCGGGCCTAGCTTCCTTCTAGTGAGAATGCCCTACGTACTTGTTATTGTTTGGTCCCCATAACCAAAAAGTTAGGTAGCTCTAAAACCATGGGTATTATTTACATAAAATGCTTGCATCCTTATATTAGTCATGATTACCATCATTGCCGTCATAATTATACCATCACCACCCTCAATCATCACTGCCCTTAGTGGCTTTCTTTTATTTTCGGTCCACTGCAGTTGGGGTTTTATAATCTCAAACTTTCTGAAGTTATTGTGATTTGTTTTTCTTCAAAGCTGCAAATAAGTTGTTGGAATCTTTGGACAACAGGAGGGAGGTTTAAAAAGAAGATAGTCATTTTTTATTGTATATATAATTAAAAAAATAACAGAGAAGTTTTTTTAGTTAAGTGAAAAAATGTTATATCAAAATATAAAGATAAATATGGGTATTATAAGAAAAAAGTGTTATGTAGTCCAATAAAGATTGGACAACACAACCATTATCATTGGATAAGGGTAAATTCTTTGATATTAAAGATTTTTTCATTTAATGACTTATATTTTACAATTCAATATAATTTAAATTATAAAACAATATACTTGTATTTTAAATGTAAGTCTTGTATTTCACCCCATATATCAAGTTTTCACATTCTTGAATGGATTCTGGGGTTAAGTGGTGAAACTGCTTTTATTGTGGGAGTTGAGAGGCTTGAAAGTGAAAGTGAAAGTGAAAGTGAAGGTGGATGAGGTTAAGGAATCAGATTCTTGTAGAAATGGAAACTGTTCTCTGGAAAATGTACTGCACAAAGGGAATATGCAAATCTGCATTTGTGAAGTCATGCTTTGGTTGAGGATTGACTCAACGACACTGACTTGACATTTTGCATTTTGGATTAACATTCCTTTCTCAATCCTTTCGTTTCATCCTTTCAAACAGTCCACACAACTCTCACGTAAATTTCGATTTTTCCTGAAAAATAAAAAAGAACATAATTTAATTGGTTGCAAAATTAGATTCGAGAGGCTTCAAATCATATGTTTTTTTAGACCAATTTTAGAAAAGGATCATATTATTATTATTATTATTATTATTATTATTATTATTATTATTATTATTATTATTATTATTATTATTTTATGTTAGCAATTAGGGTTAGGGAAATTTAACAAATTTATTCATTTTTTTTATTTTTAATTATCTAATGTAAATTCATAATTCAATATTTCTATAAAAACTACTTTACCGCCACTTCTATAAAACCAACAATTTGGCCAAACAAATTTTACCGTATCAAACTATATTTACTCTGTTCTCTTTCGATAAAACAAATTATTTATATTGTATGATTTTTCTAAGATGTGTTTAAGTTAAGGGTACTTTTTTTTATTATAAATACATATAAAAAAATATAAAAATTGAAATTAATTTTAATATTGATGTTAAGTGAATGAATTTAATTAAATAATTAATAAATTAAAAATTAATTTAATAGAAATTTATAATAAAAAAACGTATTTAAGATACAAATTAAAAATTCTTAATATTATTAGATTCATAACAGTGTAAAGTAAAAATCAAAATTTCTATATATTTTAATAAAATTATTTAAATATTTTAAATAAAATTTAAAATTTATTGAGGATATTTAAATTTTTTATAAATAATTTTGACATTTAATAACTATAACTTCTTAATTTT